CCTAAGGAATAATGTTGGTAATCATTTAGGCTTCTATGCCACACAAACATTACAGTTATTGTTTGGGGCTTTATGGAATTCGGTCCCAAGAGACCATCCCTATTATGGGTTTTTAACGGACCTATTTCCAAAACCCTAAAGGTTTCTAAGAGGCACAGGGGGGTAATGATGAACATGAAGGCCTAAATCACTAGAATTGTGGCGCAACAGTGTATTGTCCTACTAGATGCAATAAGGAACACCAAAATAGTACGTTAGCTAAGCCCGAAGATTAGGCTCTTAGTCTTAATAGGATTACAAGGAGTATAACCCCAATATGTTCGCAAACCCACGTATATCCTCCACAAGTGAGTCCCTTGATCCTATCAAAACCGCAGGTTTTGGGATGCGCAGGTACTCGCTCACCAGGTTCCCAGTAGACACCTCGAAAACAGGCTGGCATGATTCCCCCTGTTGTGCTCACTGCTACAAAAAGGATCCAAAAAGAAGAATCGAGATCGAAAGTCATTAACACTTCCCTACTCCTGCCTAGAGCTCTCAACACCCTGCTGCCTACGCACTGAACACCCCCAAAGCCCTACGAACCCCCAAAAAACCCTAAACCCTAAACCCTAAACACTAAACCCTAAGCCCTAAACCCTAAACCATAAGCCCTAAAGCCCTAAAGCCCTAAAGCCCTAAAGGCCTAAAGCCCTAAAGCCCTAAACCCCGCAGTTCTCCGTCCGTGCAAGGCTCAGTCCTACACCCCAAACCCTCCGAAAACCTTAAGCCCTACCTGGACCCTATAAGGGGTTTAGGGTTTAGGGTTTAGGGTTTAGGGTTTAGGGTTTAGGGTTTAGGGTTTAGGTGGATCCTGATTATGGTTCATCTTTGTAAAGCCCCCAAAAAAAGTAGGTAGTGTTGGGCATTACAAGCCCTAAACCCTGAGCCCAAACAACTCTACACCCCAACCCGCCCCCGCCCCCCCCCCACACACAAAAAAGTAAAATGAAAATAGTAGCCCTAAAGTCGCCCTTAGGAGCCCTATAGATCCCTCAAAGGAGCCCCATAGATCCCTTAAAGAAGCCTTTAAAAAAAGAACCCTTAAGAGGCAAAAGGCCCCGAAACCCAGGTGGAGCCTTCTCCTGGGGTGTCAGCTTCGAGCTGAATCGCGCACCGAAGGTGCCACTGTATGAAGGCCTGGGCTCTCCTACACCCTACACCCCGAACCCTAAACCCTAAACCCTCAACCCTAAACCCTCAACCCTAAACCCTACACCCTAAACCCTACACCCTAAACCCTAAATACTAAACCCTAAACCCTCAACCCTAAACCCCTAAACCCTAAACCCTAAACCCTACACCCCTAAACCCTACACAGAAGGGTCGCCAGATTTCACAGGTCTCGGTGCTTCTTTGGGGGGGCGCGTGAGGTGTAGAGGAAGTAGGATGTGGGGATTTATGGTTGGATGACACCCTCGGAATTCGGGCTTAGGGTTTAGGGTTTAGGGTTTAGGGCTGCCCAAACACGGCGAACCCTTTAAGTAACCGTTATGCCTCGCAAAGGAGACCGCTGGAGAAAGCAGTCAGGCAGCTTAGCGGTTAGGTCTAAGTGTACATCTCATGTGCCAGGGACCGGAAACCCCGCGCAGCTACTCCTCATCCCCCAAAATCGAATCCCTTGCGCCGAACGCAGGTCGTGACTCCCTGGCAGCCTGATATGTGCATGTATACATAGCCGCATTGAGCAACATCTTCATACATATATACATGCTTGCATTTAACATGGATGATAGATGAATGTACTGTAATTCGATTGTATGATGGATGGACGGATGGATGGATGGATGGATGGATGGATGGGTGGATGCATGGATGCATGGATGCATGCATGGATGGATGCATG